GGTTTTAAGGAAAAAACACGCAAATTTCTTCTAGGGTTCTTGAATTGGCGACAACAGAAAAGGGGGTAGTGGTCCGAGTCAGGGTATAAATAGTTCTGGCTCTAAGCCTGGTTGTGTTTATGCTTTTGCTCTCGTACGATCCAGCCAGAAATAGATTCCCGATGCTGTGGGAGAGGAGCACAGCCCAGTGTAATGCATGGATTGATCATTCAGTGGGGGGAAAAAAAGCCAGATGAAGGAGAAGTCTCAATGGAAAGCCTGTTATCCGGCAGCTCTGGGAGAGAAAAGCCTGTGTAAAGGCTTTGCTGCTCTGGCCGTGACTGTTGCCCTCTGTTTGGGGAGGATGCAGTGATTCTGTACACCACCAAAGCAGCACCCGCAGCAGAAGGGTCTCAGCTCGTTTGTGCCAAATCCATCTTTTTTGTGGTGTGGCTTCCACAAAGTTGCATGGTATCATTTTCCTCTGGGTTGCCTTTTTTTTTTTTTTTTTTTTTAATAACCTTCGTATTGATCAACCCAGGAGGATTAAAAAGAATCATTTCCTGTGAGCCATGGGAGATGTCAGCATTATTCTGCATTATTCTATTATTTTTATCCCGCACTCAGCATCCTTGCATTGTGTAACACAGGATGTTGCATTTTTTGCATTTTTATTGCTTCTATCTTTAGAAGCAGCAAGGAATCGTGTCTCGCGTTCTTCATTTGGGCTTTGCTCATTTTGTTTCATTTCTGGTATTGTATAAAATTTGCCTGAATTTGCATATTCTGCACGGAAGCAAAGCAGGGATATCTATAGGAACTTACTGGTAGTCGTTGGAAAAAGCTGACTAATGGCTCATGCAGAAACATTACCCTGAATATTGAACATCCTTCAATGGGTTGTAAGAATCCAAATGCTGGAAAATAATTCCGGGCTGTGGGCAGGGCTCAATATTGGGGAAAATGCTGGGGTTGTACCTGCGTTGGAAAAGCCACAGAGACACCCAGCTCCATGGGCTGGAGAGCATGGGACCGTGCCAGGGTGAAAACCTGCTCATCACTGCTCAACTTCACGGGTAGGAAAAAGATATTAAAGCAAGAGTGACATTAGGGAGAGGGAGTTAGGTATTGGAGCATAAAAGAACCTTTTGTCTGGCTAATCTTTGCGATGTCAGAATACGGTGGCCCAGTTAAATCTGCTTTGTGCATTGGCACTGGAAGTTTTTAAAGCTGGTCGAAGGCAGCTGCAGCCAATTGTATTTGCGCAGATAAGCTGGAACAAATAAGTAAGCTCAGAAAATCTGGCTGGGTTTATCTTCAAAGCATTTTCGAGCAGCTAATTGAAAATTATCCAAGCCACCTTCCTGATTTCTTACATATTATTGCATTAATTTGCCAGCAAATGGGAAATGCTTGGAAAACACACAAAGGACTTGTGAGGGCTAAGCTTTACTATTTGGAATTTATTTAATTATAAATATGTCTTTGCTCCTGTGATAGTTTCAAGTCAGTTTCAACTGAATTCCTGTCGCTCATCGCTCCCTCCTGCCCTGCGCTTCCGCAGCCCTGATGGTGAGCACGGGTTGGGTTTATGGTCAGCTGGCTGCTTTTGAGCTGTGTTTCTCATTCCTGAAAGGTTTCCACGTGTCCAGGAGGATGCTGTGAAAAATCACTTACGAAAGGCTCCCGGCTGGTCCCTGCTCCTGGCAATCGCAGCATCCTCTCTATTGCTGAACCAAAGGGATGCTCTTTAGAAAGATGCTACAAAATGCAAGGTTCAGGCTTTGTGTGAGCTGGGTGAAGTTGCTCAGCTGCCAGGGAAACGATCCGCTGTTGCACATGAACAACCCCATCATCCTGTGGGTTCTTTTATCTCCCTTTAACTGGAGCAGCGCCCTGAGGACAAGCCCCATGCTCAGGACCTGGACGTGGATTTATCTCACTTCTGGGAGGCTTCCCTCCTCCTAAAGCAGCGAGTGGATTACACTTGCTCCATCCGGCGTTTATCAGCTGTGACAGAAGGAATACTCATAATCCTCTGAAGCCAAACTATGCAAGAAAAGTTCAGTACGTGTTACCAAGAGAAATTAAACGTATAAACCCAGATGAATTTGTTCCTTTCAGCTTCACACTTGGATGTGGAGTTTCCCCAAAGTCAAAGGATCTCTTTAGGAAGGTCAGGCTCGCTCCCACGTGGAGGAGAATAACTGAGACTGACCCGTGGAGCCACCGAGCATCACCTGGGGCTGCTTCTCCCTGCTTTCCAGTACATCTTCTGACCATTTTTAATCCCCTCACTCCTGTTCCTTCGCTAATATCTCCATGTATGCCATAGAACTGAAAAAATGATGCAGTCTGCTCATAAACCACAAACTGTGCTCAGCTATGGAAAGCAGAAGTTATGAATAGATGTTATTTGCCACAATAATACCCTATAAAAGTCAAAAACCATAGAGTGAAAGGCAAGATTTACTATTAGTGGGCGTGCTTTGGCAAATGGGATTATTTTGCATGTCAGTTATGAGTTAATTTGTAACATTCATCTAATCGCGGTCCTCGGCAGAGACATGAAATGTTTTTAATTGGTCCTGTGACTTTTTAAATGATCACCTGATGAAAAGCTTCTAACTTTTACTGTTGATTTAATGCTAATTATTAGCAGGGGGGAAGAGTCTTTACCAATTTCACCACCGAATGCAAACCGTACGCTCTCGGTGCCTTCCTCCTTTTGTTGGGTTGACTGGGTGATGTTGCCAGTCTGCAGCCAGCTGTACAGCTGGAAAAAGAAAAATAAAAAAGGAGTTGAAATTTTGCAGCAAAATGAGTAAATCCATATCTGCGAGATAATAGCATTGGGGCTGATTCAATGTAAGCAAGAAATCAGCAGCTGAGTCATTAGAAGCAGAGATGAATGGGAAGCAATAAACGGATGGCTCAGATGAATGAGAATGATTAGGAAGCGCCTGAAGTTGGTCGGGTTTTTTCCCTAAAGATTATATTTTGTCCTCTAAAGTGGCATATGGCTCCTGTGAAACTAATACTCCCAGCGAATGTGTCACTGCCGGTTTATAAATACTCCAGGAGAGAAGGAGCAGCTGGGTGGGCAGCAGCGGGAGGGAGCAGGCTTCTTGCCCACAGCACCTGGGTACAAGTCGTTAGCCCAGGTCCCTGGGGAGATGGCCAGGACGTGGGCTTTGGGGGCAGAGGAGGCCTCTGTCTGTCAGAAAACATCTGCTGCTTGGAACAATGACTGGTTGCTTTCTTGGAAACGTCTCGCCCTGTGTTTACCATGAAGTAGGACTCAGCGTAACCAAAGCTGAAGGGGAGGGTGATGTGGTCACCTGGTCTGGTGGCCCAGACTCCTGCTGCTTCAAGGAAAAGAAAATGAAAAGCTGTAACCTATTTCCTGACTCACGAAATATCACTATATATTCATGAAGTATTAAAGGAGATATCCCAGTGCTGGTAAAGGGGCAATAGGAGTGTTTCCTCCAGGGTGGAGGTGTCCCCGTTGGGGAGCTCTTGGCTCCTGGTGGCATCAGCTGACTATTGGAGATGGGCTTTTTCTATCTATTGAAATCAGCGATAGCAAACCCAGTCCCCAGCCAAGCAACATGTTTTTCCAGCCACACACAAAAGAGTATTAATTTCTTCATCAAAGGCTGCAGCGTTCCCAGGTTACAACGACCTGAACACGGTTTATTTTATTTGGGAAAAGAAACGCCCATTTTTCCCGTTCCCTGCTGATGAGGCTGATTGCCATCTCAAGTGGAACTTTTTTATAGGAACCTCTTGAAACCTGTCAGTGTTTGAGAGACGTTTGGACAATGCCCTGAACAACATGCTTTAACTTTTGGTCAGCCCCGAGTTGGTCTGGCAGTTGGACTAGATGATCATTGTAGGTCCCTTCCAACGGAAATTTCTCTTGTCTTGTCTTCTCTTGTCTTGTCTTCTTTTCTCTTGTCTTCTCTTGACACAGTGCTTAGAGATATGGTTTAGTGATGGTTTTGTCAGTGTTAGGTTGATGGTTGGACTTGATGATCTGAAAGGTCCCTTCCAACTTAGGCAATTCTGCGATTCTATCCTCATCTAGCATTTGCTGTGTATTTAAGACCGGTGTTCAAGGGAGAACCATTTTTTCATCATTTATAATTAAGCCAAGGCATTTAAGAGCAAACACCCCTGGCTGCTGGCGTGATCAGGTGCTGCGATGCAGAGGACCGGGTTGAAGGAAGGCAGCCTGCATGGGTAATCAGGTTCGAGTCAGCTGCCTCTGCCCTCCAGCTCGCTCTGAAATGGCATGTAGTCTAATTAGTTGTAGAAAGGATTTTACTGAATAGTTGTAAACAGATCTGAGGGCTTGGAATAAAATCAATCTGACTGTGGAAACTTTTCAGGATAATTATAAACTGTTATTGGCAGAGTGTGAAAGGGAGACCAAAGGACTTTTAGCAGTGGGAAACCTGTAGCTGAGCGCGCCGTTCTCTGCAGGGGGAAGGAGGACAGAGGTTGGGAAGGTCCAGCGTCCAACCAGGGTCTCTTCGAGAGGAGGGATGAGGGGCTTCAGCAGAGACTGCCTTTGGAGGTGCTTTTTCAAATGCTCTTGAAAGTTTTCTTCTTTTCTGTAATATGTGTGAAAGGGAGACCAAAGGACTTTTAGCAGTGGGAAACCTGTAGCTGAGCGCGCCGTTCTCTGCAGGGGGAAGGAGGACAGAGGTTGGGAAGGTCCAGCGTCCAACCAGGGTCTCTTCGAGAGGAGGGATGAGGGGCTTCAGCAGAGACTGCCTTTAGAGGTGCTTTTTCAAATGCTCTTGAAAGTTTTATTCTTTTCTGTAATGTTTAATGGTGTCCTGATACCTGAGGTACCCACACACCCCGTGGTGGAGGACACACATCCAGCGGAACTGCACGGTGAAATGCTAATATTTATTAAAAAAAAAAAGAAATAAGCAATATTTGACAGTTTGGGGATTGGTTTTATAGAAAGGCATGTTTAAAAATTTTCTCTTTTTCAGATCGCAATGGTCCTGGCTCAGACCTTCGCCATCTCCCTGCTGATGTAAGCGCCGAAAATTGCATCTCCCGGGTAGGGCAGGTCCTCGCTGCCCCACGGAGCCCCCCCGGCCACCAACCCCGCCGTGACCTGCCCCCGGCTCTGCCTTCCCGTTTCATGGCAATGCCCCAGAACTCGACTGGAGAAAATGGCTTTTGTTTCGCTCAGACACCCGACTTCTCCCGCCCGTCCCCTCCTCCCGCTGAAACCGGCCGGACCTTTGCCACCCCGAGCGGGCAGGAGCCATCAGGGACCCCACTGAGCAATGGCACGGTGTCCTCCAGTGTCCCCAGCCCCTCTGACTCCTGTGCCCAGCCCCTCTGCTCCCCCACCCAGGCAGAGGAGGGCCCCCCTTTCGGCGAAGGGATTGAATACGTGTCGGCCGAAGGGGAGGAACTGGCATGTGGCTGGGGGGGGTTCACCCCCGGGTGCCTACAGCCCTTCAACACCTCCAAAGGCGTCTTGTTCTTCCTCTGCATGGCCTCCTTCCTGCAAGGCATGACGGTGAATGGCTTCATCAACACGGTCATCACCTCCATCGAGCGGCGCTTCGACCTCCGCAGCTACCAGAGCGGGCTGATCGCCAGCTCCTACGACATCGCCGCCTGCCTCTGCTTGACCTTCGTCAGCTATTTTGGGGGGAACGGCCACAAACCCCGATGGCTGGGCTGGGGCGTGCTGGTCATGGGCTTGGGCTCCCTCCTCTTCGCCTTGCCCCACTTCACCACGGGGCGGTACGAGGTGCGTTGGGCGGCCGAGGTTGGGGCCTGCGGGGGGAACCAGAGCCTGCCCTGCGCCCAGGCCGCCTCCAGCCTCTCCAGATACAGGTTCGTCTTCATGCTGGGGCAGTTCCTGCATGGGATGGGAGCCACCCCGCTCTACACCCTGGGCGTCACCTATTTAGATGAAAACGTCAAGACTAACTACTCCCCTGTGTACATTGGTGAGTGGAGCCAGGGGCTGGGCGAGGGGAGGGAGAGGGGGTCCATCCGCCTGGGCACCCAACAGACCACCTCAAGTGTGAGGTGCTCCCAGCCTTTTGTTCCCCATAAGGGGTAATCAGGGGGAAGCGGCAGCTGTTGGGGAGGGTTTGATTATTTATAGACAGGACCTGGAAGTGCAGCTGGGTATTTCCACAGCCCTGCAGATCAGGAGGTGTCTCCTGCTCCAGGCACGGGACCAGCTGGGGAGATGTGGTGGTGTGCTCTCCCTGGTTTTCCCCCTCTTCTTTCCCCCACCCTGGCTCCTGCTTGGGCCATGACTATCGCAGCTGGGTATTTCCACAGCCCTGCAGATCAGGAGGTGTCTCCTGCTCCCAGCATGGGACCAGTTGGGGAGATGTGGTGGTGTGCTCTCCCTGGTTTTCCCCCTCTTCTTCCCCCTCACCCCCGGCTCCTGCTCGGGCCACGACTACTAAATTCAATTTTGAATTTAAATGATAGTCCCACACTATGGTGAGCTCAGAGACAGACTACTACTCCAGCTTGCCCCCCTACGTGCATGATTTAAATGATAGTCCCACACTATGGTGAGCCCAGAGACAGACTATATAAACAGGAGAGCCCTCCAGCTTGCCCCCCATGTGCGTATGGGATGGGAGCCACCCCGCTCTACACCCTGGGCGTCACCTATTTAGATGAAAACGTCAAGACTAACTACTCCCCTGTGTACATTGGTGAGTGGAGCCAGGGGCTGGGCGAGGGGAGGGAGAGGGGGTCCATCCGCCTGGGCACCCAACAGACCACCTCAAGTGTGAGGTGCTCCCAGCCTTTTGTTCCCAATAATGGGTAATCGGGAGAAGCAGCAGCTGTTGGGGAGGGTTTGATTATTTATAGACGGGACCTGGAAGTGCAGCTGGGTATTTCCACAGCCCTGCAGATCAGGAGGTGTCTCCTGCTCCAGGCACGGGACCAGCTGGGGAGATGTGGTGGTGTGCTCTCCCTGGTTTTCCCCCTCTTCTTTCCCCCACCCTGGCTCCTGCTTGGGCCATGACTATTAAATTCAATTTTGAATTTAAATGATAGTCCCACACTATGGTGAGCTCAGAGACAGACTACTACTCCAGCTTGCCCCCCTACGTGCATGGCATTAGCATCTCCAGCAAGCGACCATGAGGTGGTACCTCATCCATGCAAGGGGGCATCACCCCTTCAGTGCCACAGTGTGGGAGGGACGGTTGCTGTGCTGCTGGGATGCTGCTGGTGCAAAGCCCAGCCAAGAGAAGAGGCTCAGCACGCTCCTCTGCTCAGCAATTGCCAAACACTTACAGTCCTATTTGGTGCTAATTGCTAGAAGGGCTGACCTTTTAGCAATTTCACAATGTTGCCGGCTGCCCGTGGTGGTGTAGCAGAAGGCTGTGCAGGGAGAGAAGGAGACCACAAGGAGATCATCAGTGAGTTGATGATCTTTCCATGGCAGGAAACTGAAATAAGTGCCGATGATGCTGCATTTAGTGTAGCCATTGCCAATGGTCAGTGGGGAGATAACGCCACTGCTCATCGTCAGCAGTGGGGACGTGGCATCTACATCCCTGCTAAATCATAAACCAGTAACTACATCAATATGTTTTCCCAGGGGACCGATTTCGCCTGCCCCATGCTATAAAAATCCCCGGGTTGGATGCAAAAGTTTCATAGGGGCACGAGTGGGAGATGAAAACTTGTGGAAACTCTGGCTTTGAGGAGCAGGCTGCTCGCTAATGGGGCAGGAGGCTGGGGATCCCGGATCCAGGAGGGAATTGGGCTGCTGTGGTGGGGCAGGGGATGCTGGGCACCAGCACCAGCCCTGGCTGAGCCACTGCTGTTTCTCTAACACAGCTCATTTTCCCTTTCAGCCGTTTTCTACACTGCTGCAATCCTTGGGCCTGCAGCGGGTTATCTGGTAGGAGGAATGTTTCTAAATATTTATACTGAAATTGGCAGAGAGTAAGTGGCTAAAAAATAATCTTGTTCCTTTTCCTTTATGCTATATGTTTCCTTTGGGGTGAAAATAAATAAATAACTAATAATAATAATCCAGAGCAGTGACAAGGTGGCTGGGTGGAAACGTGCCCGTGGTGTTCAGCAGTGTTTCTGCCTCGGGGAGGGGGGAGGCTGAGGCTGGAAGGGAGGGTTGTGTTAGTGCTGTTGCTGGAAGAAAACTGCTGACAAACCTGTCAGCTTAAATCCTTCCTCACGCTGCACTGCCCGCGCTAATGAGGCTACGAGCAGCAGGTGAATTTTTTGAATGAGTTCCCTGATGAGGCAATGCCACCAGCAAATTTTTTGAATGAGTTCCCTGATGAGGCAACGCTACCAGCAGTGCTGCTCCTCCTCCTGCTCATCCACCCGGGACGCTTAGTCCCTCCCTGCTTCTTAGCATTTGTAATTTATTTTTATCTCTTTACAGGCTCTTTGGCAGGTGAATGGGTTAAAAAAAAGGGGGAGCGGGTTTCCAGGGGATGGAATGGGTTATTTCCAGCAGTTTTCTTGCAAAGGCTGGCTCTGGGGTGGAATAAGGGTTGTACCAACCCCCAAAGTGCAGATGAGATGGGGAGAGGTGGATGTCCAAGCCAGAGGTTAAAGGACAATTAGATGATGTAGTTTCCCAGGCTCAGGAAGCGATGTGCTCTGCGGTAACGGAGGGAAGGCTGTGGTGTGGCCGGAGGGATGGGGGAGGTTGCATCCCCAGCAGATGGCCATGAGAGAGGCCAGAGCTTGGTTTCCTTTCCTGCTGTACTCCCTGTGTCCCCCCGACCCCTGCCAGCTTCAGCCAGAGGCACGCTGAGCTCTCCTGCTCCCTTCCCAACCGCCGCCTCCCTCCCTTCTCTCCTTTTCCCTCTGTTCCTTACAGGATCAGCATCACCCCGGAGAACACGCTGTGGGTGGGGGCATGGTGGATCGGATTCCTCGGGGCCGGAGCAGCCTCCCTGCTCATCTCCATCCCCATCCTGGGGTACCCCCAGCGCCTCCCAGGTACGCGTGGGTCCAGGGAATCGGGGTTGGGGCTGCACGGTCCTCACTCTCCCCTTGGGGCTGGCACTGTGTGTAGCTGGGGACACAGGGGTGGAGGAAGAGCTTCCAGTGTTTAAATTGTAATTCCTGCTTGGATTTGACCCCTGAGGGTTTCCAGCTGCCTGTTTCCCTGCTCCTCCCTTGAACGGTTGCAGGAGGGAGGATGTCACATTGCATTTTCCCCCTGTGAATCCACCACTTCAGCAGCATCCACATCCCGTGTCTCACTGGCTCCTCCATCCCCTTTGCCTCTCATTTTCAGGATCCCAGCGGTACACCGTTATGAGGGTGTCAGAGGCCCATCAGCTCAAGGATGGGAGCCACAAAAAAGCATCGGATCCGGACTTTGGGAAAACAGTTAAAGATCTGCCTCGGTGAGAAAACCACCCCACGCCTGAGGTTCGGGGAGTGAGAGCAATGGGGCCAAACTGAGCTTGCTCTGTACGATGCTAAGAGGTTTTGCCCCTCTCCAAACGTAGGGATGGGGCTTCCTCGCAGAGGAGGTTGCAAAGTGCCTGGTCCCATCAGCGACCGGGGACTCTTGGCGATTGGGCTGAGCTAGAACTTGTGCTGGGGATCGTGTGGGAGAGCAGGGGACAAGGTGCTGGTCGTGTCGGTGGGTTTCAGAAGCTCACATCCTGCAGTGATTTGCAACACGCTGAGTTTCACTGCAAGTGGCTTGGTGCCAACCTTGAAGTGACAGGAGATGTCCAGGCGTTGCCATCTCCTTCCCTCTCCCCAGCAGCATTATCTCCTCCTGCCTGCTTTGTGCCTGGCCTGACTGCGTGTTGTCCAACCTCATCTCCTCCCCGTCCCCTCAGGGCTTCTCTTCCCATCTTCTATTTTTGCTTGTGTTACATCCCTGTTTTGTCCTTCTAATGAGAAAAAGAGAGGAAACAAAACCCTCAGCTGTACAGCTCCATTCCAAATCTTGGGAACAAGATATCCTGCACTGGAGCTTTCAGTTCCCGTTCTCTTTTTATTCTTAGTTTCCTTTTTCTCTTTTTTCCCTTTCGCCTCTGCATCTTCCAGCCACCTTTTATGTGTTACTACTTCTTATCTCTCCAGCACAGCGGTGACGCAGCAATGTGCTTACTCCCTGCCTGGCTCCGTGCTGGGGGTGAGCAGCTTGTCCCAGGGGAGGTTTGGTAGGAAATAATTTTTAAGGGGATCCTGGGTGGGAACGAGCGAGTGGCCAAAATTCAGTGTGCTCTTTTCACCTGGAAACATTGGCTGTGGATCTTTGAAATCTCTCGCCATTTCTTTTTGGTGTTGAGCTGCGTTTAACTGGAGGGCAGAGGGGGAGAGAAGCTGCTTTATTTATGGCGTGGGTTCAGCTGGGTGTTGCAGAGATATCTGGGTATCGATTCCTTCCAGAGCTCACAGTCCATAAAGGGATTTTTCTTTTCTCATTTCTCCCTGGACCGTTCTCAGGGAGGAGTTTGCATCCGTGCGTGACGGCTGCCCCACGCAGAGGCAAACATTCGGCAGTGCCAGAGCCCGTGGTGCTGCCAGAAATCAGCTCTGAACTTCAGTTGTGGTGTTTGCTGGCAGAGCAGGGTGGAAGCAGGTGCCTGGGAGCAGGAGTTTTCAGCAGCAGTGGCTCCGTGTTGTGTCCCTGCAGCTACTCCCCTTGGTCTGAAATTCTTGGAGACCTCGCAGGAAGTTTTCCAGGGGTTAAGGCAGTTTTATGAAGAACGTTACATTGAGCAGATTTCAATACTGTTATTAAATGGCATTCTTGACTGAGTGCCATTTTCCGAGGTCAGGGCTTATTCTCCACACGGAAATTAAATTCAAAACCTGCATTTTAAATAATGATAAGGTTCTGACTAGAACCAACACAAACAGGGCAGCAGAGAGGGATGAAATTCGGTGGTCGATGCTTTTCTGGCTTGTCTGGAACAAAGCTGCCAGTGTTTCTGGGGGGAGGGTGTCTGAGAGCAGGTACGAAGCCAGTCCTCCTCCGGGAGCATCTTCTTTCACCCCTCAGTCCCCAAGAACAAATACCCAAAGGTGGGCAACTCCTATCAAATAATTCAGGTCAGTCCAGACCTTAGCGTGGCTTTCTTTTGAAAGCATAAAAAAAACCCAACAGACTTTTATATTCCCTGGTTTTGATTAATAAAAGGGAAGTGCCTTCAAGGGTTGCTATTCTGGAAAGTTGCATTAAAGAGGAGATCCCGTCTGTGCCTGCAGCTCCTGGGGACGCGTGGCCCGGGCTGGAGAGCAAGGCCAAGGGACACTGTTGCTTTAGTTTCAGGAAGGGATGGGATGCTACACATTTTTTCACAGTACGGACAGCAAGAGTCTCACAAAGATAAGCAGAAATACTGATGAAATGAAATACTCTCAGGTCCTTTCGCAGTGAGCTGAATGAATTGCCGTATTCAGAGCGCTGCCTGATGGCAGGGGCTTACAGGAACGCAGCCCGTATGGCTTAATCCTCTGCCCTGAAGAGACTTCTGTCTTAATTCTTGGATTTAAAAGGCCTGATAAAATAGCATTTCCCTTTCTCTGGTTCCACATGATTGCTCTCGTGAAATAACCCCTGCTGTCGGTGCGGAGGGGTTCAAACAGAAGACACGCAGAGCTGTGCCAGGAGAGAAGGCTTTGTCCTAGCTAGCTGTGGGCCAGAATTTGTGAGGATCACTCACCCTTCTGTCAAGCCCTCATCTTCAACAGGAGAAGCTACGGGCGGCATTTCACTCACCCCCCTCGGATCAGTTGGCAGAACGGGGCTTTGGTTTGTCTCAAGGCTTTGCTCCAGCTTCTGTGTGTGGCCAGGGGAGGTTGGTTACCTTCCTGTGGGACGTACCTGCTGCCCTCCCTTCTGTGGTGGTGGTGACAGCAGGTGTCACTTCTGCCTGCTGGAAATCCCTGTTTGCATAAATATCCATCTGTCATTATAGACTCATTAGCTGGTGGCCGTGCTCTGTTACAGTCTGGGTCACCCTGGGTGTGAGAGTGTTCCTCAAAGGAGCAGGCTCTGGTTGCAAAGATGGTCCCAACCTGCTCAGCAGGACCATTGCATGAGGAAGGAGTACCTGTATGTGCCCACATCAGTCAGGAATTCCAGGATCAAGCTTTTAGAGATGGTGGGATTCTCCTCTTGGCAGTGCTGAGCTTCCTGAAATCCCTTTGACTGCAAGAACCCAGGGCAGCCAAGAGGACTCAAGAGTTAAGTGGTTTCTGGGTGTGATTAAAATCCTCCTGATAGCGAAGAAAGGTCCATGTTGACTTTGGTAAGGTTTTATATGCCATAGTTCCTCACAACTACATTTTCTGTCTAGAAGTAGATTAAATTACGTTAGTAAATCCTTACTCAGCACTGAAAGGAGTTCCTCTGCATTTTCCTATCTGTGAGTCCGACCTGTAACCTTTGGCCATCGGGCATGAAGTCACACCCGTGCCAGGGAACAACGCCTCTCTTTGCTCTTGAACTGTAAAAAGGTTTCTCTGTACATTTCTACAATTTCTACCTCAGCCACAAGGTCCCCAGGAAGTGTTTTCTCGCTGAGAGAGAAGCTTTGTGCTTCCAAATAAAGCACAGTCGAGAAGATAATTCCTGGAAAATAGTTTAGTAGGTTAAACTAATCCCAACAGCTATATAATGCTCAGTATAAAACCCCCTGTAATCAAGGTAGTAAGAATGTGTGGTATTTCTGCCCTTCAGCTTGTTTGTTCTCTTGGTATAGTGAGATTCCCCACTTTATGGGGCTCAAGTTGCATAAATCCGACGCTGAGCCTCAGCACGTCTCTTGCTCATTGTCCCACAGTAGGTTGTCTCTGATTTCACATTTCCTCTGAAGCAGTAGGTGGTAAGTGACTGTGCCTTTCAATTCAGGGAGCATCCCACGGCATCCCTGTCGCTGTGGGATGTCGGGGTTGTGCCCCTCTCAGAACTGGGGTGACCTCTGGTACTGGTCCAGGCTGGGCATTTCAAGCTCGTTGCAAAGCAGCGTGGAGCCTCCTTAGTCCAATATCCGAGATAGTGAGAGATAATTGAGACCATCCCGTGTGCCCGAGGGAATTTCTGTGTCTCTGAGATGGAATCGTCGCTGGATCATCTTTCTGCATATAAATGACACACGGCAATTTTCTAGGCATATTTATGGCTCTACTAAATCTCAGTGGGTCGAAAACAAAATGGATTTGCTCAATTTATACGTTAAGCTGAAAGTAAAGCTGTGCTCAGATTGTGGGAGAAAGATTGCATTCCGTTTTCCAGTGGGATATAAGGTGTCTTGGAGGTGCTTCCTCCATATAGAAAGGCTTGCTTGGTATTTCCCTGGAGCTGCAAAACATCCAAGGTTATCAGAGACTGACATTCTCATGAGGCCATGGGTGCACATGAGTGGCATGTGTGTACACCAGGACGTGAGGGTGTAACACAGCTTTGTTCCCTGCTCTTGGTTGGCTGGAGTCAGGAGTACCAACATAACGGCCATCGGGGACTAAAAAATACTTGAAATGATTGAGATTTGGTAAGTGGTAGTGTCCTTTCACTATTGCCCCATTTAGGAGTGAAAGATAGTCAGCCTGGCCCTGAATATTGGAAAATTATCACTGAAATCATCCAAATCCAAGTCACGGGCACCCTGAATGTGAATTGTATCACACACACACTGATGGTGTCCCATGCACATTTTGAACATGCACATGAGATAAATAGAGCCATCTGGTGCCCTCCTGGGGTCCATAGAGAAGAACCCCAGATCATTCCCTCCTGTTTTAGGTGTTTGGTTGATGTTCCTCAGATTCCCTTGCTGGTTGGCTGTATCCAATGGGGCTAGCAAAGATGGCCAGGGTAAGCACTGATTTGACTCCAGGATATTTATTCTTCCCAGATCAGTGCTGCTGCTTCTGAAGAACCCCACCTTCATCTTCCTCTGCTTAGCAGGAGCAACCGAAGCCACCCTCATTGCTGGGATGTCCACGTTTGGACCCAAGTTCCTGGAGTCCCAGTTTAGTTTAAGTGCCTCTAAAGCTGCTACCTTTTTTGGTAAGGAAACCAGTTTTTCTTTTTCAACGTTCTTCCATTTGTCTACAAATACCAGAGCACTGTAGCTCATTTAGAATGGAGACAAACACGCTTTGCAGTTCATTTACAGAGCAGTTTTCCTCTCCAGCCATTAGATAGGATCATTTCCCATCAACACATCTGTACCGAGTGCATTTTCAGAGCTGTATCTACTGATATCAGGAAGAAATGTGTCACTTCTGCAGCCATCTGTTACCCTCTAGAGGAAGGCAAAATAACTGTAGTCTGTTCTTTCTAACGTGTTACTAAGAAACATTAACTATATGTTTCCTCTAACGAGGGATGTCTGAACTGGGAGACATATTTTGTCAGTGTTCATCACTGGGAAGACCCTTACTTAGGCTGCTGTATCGTAAGACCAAGGAATTGATGTCCAACGAGCATCAATACTCATGATGTGCTCCTAAAATTGTCTTTTGGAAGGGATCTGGGTGGGAAAAGCTGCCTTACTGAGTTCATGCCGTGTTCCCTGAGCTCCTATGGAGGCCCACCTGCCATAGCAACGTCCACTGAACTCCACCAAGAAACCAGGCAGCAACCAAGGGGTTATTCTCCTGCAGACACGCTGCAGTTAATGTATTCAGCCGTGAAAACTCCTTCCTGACATTTCTAAACTTGCTTGTTGTTTGGTTTTTTTTTTTCCCCCTCTTTTCAGGTTATCTGGTCGTGCCAGCCGGAGGGGGAGGCACATTCCTGGGAGGATTCCTTGTGAATAAATTAAAACTCCGCTGTTCAGGAATCATCAAACTGTGTTTAGCTTGCACAGTGTTGAGTCTGCTGGCTATATTCATTTTTTTTATCCACTGCCCTAACATGCCGATGGCGGGAGTAACCCAGACGTACGAGGGAAGGTAATAGCAATCACCCCAGCTCTCTTGTCTTCATTTTTGCATCTAATTGGAGTTTATGGAAGAGGCTCCCCCTTTAGTAAGGGAGGGGAGATCAGCAGCGCCAGAGTGTCAGATACTTCACTTGCCTTCATAAGGTCCCTTATGAGATAATCTGGACTAAAAGTGGGAATTTCCTGTCCAAATGGAGGTGTCTCCCTGTGAGCTGGTCACTTGAACTCTTTTGGTAGCTGTAGGAAAGAAATAACTCCAGGGCATGATTCCTGTTGATGGTTAAAGTTGGGTGAGATGAAACCCTTCCCAAGCTTTATGCTACAGGGGGATCCACCACATCTCCCACTACTGTCCCCCCTTCTCCTTCTTTATCCATTTACTCATGGAAAATGCTGTTGGGCAGGTCCCCACTGACTGCTCCTGTGTTTCCCTTAGTGCTCTGCCCAGTGGCCACCTAAACCTGACAGCAGCCTGCAATGCTGAGTGTGGGTGTCTGCAGGAGACCTACAGCCCTGTCTGCGGGAGCGATGACATCATGTATTACTCCCCCTGCCACGCCGGCTGCAAAGAGGTGTCTGAAAACCTCAGGAATGGCAAGAAGGTATGTCTGACGGCACCGTGTGTTAACAAGGTGGTGGCACATCTTCTTGGGAGTGTTTTCTGCAAAGGTCTCCACTGCAAATCAGTGTAAAGGGCAGAGACAGCCCCGTGCTGGTAGAGGATGCTCTCAGGCACCATGGGATGAAGGCAGAAGGTACCCTGAGGTCACCCTGCTTCGCTTCCCTCGATGTGCCCAGCTTTGGTTTTGCCTTGCTCTGGGTCAAACTGCATCAAAATCTATGGTAAATAAGGTACCCTGAGGTCACCCTGCTTCGCTTCCCTCGATGTGCCCTGCTTTGGTTTTGCCTTGCTCTGGGTCAAACTGCATCAAAATCTGTGGTAAATCACCCAGGCAGGCGAGGAGCTCGGTGGGCGCCTAATTTCTGTCCCGATGCTTATTTTGGGTCTTCAGTGAGCTTGATGCACCTCCTCATCCTTCCTGCATGTCACTCATTGAGACAGGCAAAGGCTGGAGAAGGGCAGTGACAACATTCAGCGTTCAAGGGCTGCCTGGTGAAATTAATTTCTCGTATTTAACAACTGGTTTTGTAACAGAGGTGTGTCAAGAATGTGGCTTGATTTCTGTTTCGCCCTGCTCTGGGACTGAAACTGTTGGTTTCTGTCCTCCCTGAATTTCTTTCTCTTTAAAGCCCTGCTTTGACTGTCACCGTTCTCCCCAGCAAAGCACCCACCCAGCCTTTCTTTCTCAGGTCTATCACGAGTGTAGCTGCATTGAGAAGACCTTTCTGCCCGGCCCCGGCGACGCGGAGGCAGGGAAATGCACCTCCTCTTGTGCAAAAAAGCCCCTTCTCCTGTTCTTCATGTTCGTAGTGATCCTCTTCACCTTCCTGGGCAGCATTCCTGCCCTGACGGCCACCCTGCGGGAAGCACGGCGTCGCCTCCTCCTCCTCCTCCAGCAAGAAGCCCCAGTACCCACCTCTCCACTTCATCCTGCTGGATCCAACCATGGAGAAGGTGTGATGGAAACCACCTCGTTAGGGCAGCCCAGAGACATCAGGACTTAATTCCCCTTCCCTGTCTAGCTGGGAGAGCAAATTTTGGCATTGGCAGCTCTGTCCTCTGACGTGGGACCTTGCACTGGGGTGAACCTTGATCTCCAGAGAGGATGGAAGCCCCAAACGTGCTGGACCCAAGTGGGTGGTGGGGAGGTGCTGTGTGGCCTGGTTGCATTTTCCAACAATCCCTTTTTGTTCCCCAGGTGTGTCCCCGACAGGCAAAGGTCGTTTGCCCTCGGGATCCAGTGGATTGTAGTACGAACACTAGGTACGGTGCAGTGAATTTGGGCACGGGTATGGTCCGTTGGCTTTGGGGAGCGTGTGCCAAGCTCTTGCCTAAGAATAAAACAGGTTGGGTTGGAAAAGAAGGGGAAAACATCCTCCTTTCACATGCTGTCGAAAGGAGGATGTTTTCTCTTGTTTGCTGTCATTCAGAAAAACCTTACTCCCTTTGCATGTGGTTTGCAAACCGAGTGAAGGGCTCTGTGACGCGTCACAGGGGGGGTGGAGGAGCAACATCCTGGCAACGTGTCCTTATTTTAAGAAAAAAGGAGCAGAGGCGTATAAACTTCTGTGTTTGCCTCTTGGCTGTTGTGCAACACGTAGGTCAGGGTGGTCGAAAGACTCTCTGGACTCTCAGGTCTTGAAACTCAACGTATTTTGGGTACCTTGTGGCTCCAGATGTTGCAGGATGAGTTTGCTTAATTACCGTAGCAGCAGAGCCTGATGCTTTTCTGCAAGCACCTTGCAAGGCTGGTGCGTAGGTGCTGCCCAGACTGAAGGTCCACCACCCTCTCTTCCCACAGGAGGCATCCCTGGCCCCATCGCCTTCGGGTCCATGATCGATAAATCCTGCCTGCTGTGGCAGGACCAGTGTGGAGAGCAAGGTTCTTGCTACGTTTACCACAACTCAGCCATGAGCCGATACACCCTCAGCGCTGGACTGGTCTACAAGGTGATGCTGCCCCTTAACTTCGCTCTTGGGTAAAGCCAGCAGGTCTTTAGGAGACAGGGGGTTGGTCTGGGAGAGAATTTTACAAAACGGGGTTGTCCTGATCTGCCCCCACCCCCAGCCCAAATCAGATTTTCACACTAGAAATGTTTTCGGGAAAGGCAAAAGCTCCATTCGCTTCCCACCAGGTAATGGTGCTCCTGGCACCATCATTCCCTTAAATTCCATTTACATTGTAGACTCAGAGCTTCTGTTGCACCATATGAAATACCTCCTCTTCTCCCAACAGTCACCAAAGTGATTTTTTGCTAGAAATGGAGTAAAATACAGTGTGTTAGTGAGAGTGAGGGATGGCATTGTGGGCAGGCTGTAAATAACCATTCCCTCATCGCTGCTGGAGAACAAGAGAGCTTAGCCCTATGTTTCCTATATATTAGCTGAAAACCATCATTTTAACTGCTCCCAGACAAGCACTTGCCCTGGGTGGTGGTGGTGTTCAGCAGTTGCTGTGCAAAAGAGGCTTTCAGAAGCCTTCTAGCAAATGTTTCTGGTGGTGGTGGTGGTCTGGTGTCCTTGTGGGGCTGAACACCCTTCCAAATTCTCTGTCCCATTGCTGTGGGGCTGGCTAAATTCAGATTTTTGGCCCAGGCTGGCCTGCTGGCCTTCACCCTCATCTCCTCCCCAAAGCCTGGTCTGCAAATCTCCCCCTGAATGAGGACTGGGCGCCTGGTTTTGGGGGGAGCAGAGAGTAATGGGGTGTCTCCATGGCTGCAGGTGCTTGGGACAACCTTCTTTATAGTCGCCTGTTTACTCTACAAGCCCCCGCCAGCAGAGTCAGCTCCAGGCAGCTCGGACACATCCGAAAATGGCAACTGTGACCTCCAGGAGCAGAAGCCCTCGCTGCCAGCTGAAGAGGACATATAGCGCTGGGCGCCTGGAAGTGACTCTCTCAGTGTCAAAAACAGGATGAGAAGGCGTTCTGCAGTCCCTGGGGGGTTTTAAATTAATAGTAATATTATCACTTTTTTTTTTTTTTTTTTTTTAGTTCGAGAGAAATAATTTAATTAACCACTGTTGTGCTCGCTGTTTTCTTCACAGCAGAAGCACGTTTTTTAAAATGTGCGCCGATGCCACACGCAGTTATTTAATTTTATTTAAAGAAAGGGCTACCGTAGCTTTATTCTATGTCTGTGACAAGGCAGGACCACACTCTCCACTCATGGAAACAAGCACCGGTAACTCCAATGGAGTGCGTGGGGTTTAAACCACCAGAGGATCAGGTCCCTAATATCTCAATTGTGAAGCCAACTGTAGCAAAACTTCTCTGGGACTTCGGGAGCCTGCGAAGAGCCCATGTCCTCCCGTCTGATGGCAAAGGGGACAACTGGCCCTTAAACTACTGGATGCAAAGCAGACGGCCCCCCCCACATGTCCTCCTCCTCCTTCCTGCGACACCCAGCATCGCTCCTTTTGTTCAGGAGCAGGTTATCTAATTATGCAAATTGTCCTTAGGGTGGGATGGGAGATGGGTTGGAGGTGGGATGGCAAATTCCCCGGTACACTACAGGCAGCCCTCCCCGCCAAGCGCTGGGCGTTCACTGCCTCATTTCACTGCAGGGTTTACACCATGGTGACACTTCTTCTGGGGTTTTTGGTTGTTGTTTTTGTTGGTTTTTTTCGTGCATTGTTTAAAAGTGATGCCTTTTGTAATGCACTGTGCAAAACTTGAACTCATTTCTTGCTGTTCGTTGTTGGGCAGGGGTGAAAGACCCGAGACACAGATCTATGCAATGCTTCTCTTCAGTTGCTCTGTGAAGGCGTGGGGTTTGGGTAGATGGCAAAAGCCAGAAGGAATTTAAGTTGTCTTTGGACCACTATCTTAAGGGAGAGCTCACCACAAGGACAGGATGCCTTGTGGAAAAGGGGTGCTGACCTGTAGCTGCCCTGCTTGCAAGGAGAGAGGGCAGCGTTCCCAAAATGACTTTTGAATGTGCACTTGCAATACTAAGGACTTTAGTGAGGGGGTGGAAAAGTGAGTCCAGGCGGGTGTATGTCTGGCTTCCCTCTCACCCCAGGTCTGGTGAGGGGAGGGCTCAGTCTGCCTGTGTTTGCACAGCCCCACCGTCCAGGTACAGCTCCCGGGGAGGGCTTGGAGGACCCCTGGAGTCCTGCACGTGCTCATGGGGACGGGACCTGCATCACTGAGCTGCAAAACTGGCGCTTCTTTAGTGCCAGATGCTGCTTAGAATTACTTTGGAGATGGGTTTTTTTTTATATATTTTGTGTATTTATGCTTTCATAAGCGGACACGGGATGGGCATTGTTTCCTTCATCAGCAAAGGACCGACTCCTCTGAGAGCGGAGGCAAAGCCGTTCCTGTTGCAGACCAGGAGAGCAGTGCTGGGAGCATGGTCCGCCTTCAGGTCGATGGTGGTCAAGAAAGTCGACCTTCAGGTTGTTGGTGGTCAAGAAAGCAGCTTCTTCCATTTGCAGATCCCCTTCCACCAAGGCCAGGTAGTGACCTTCCCGCTTCCAAAGCCCTTGTTTCCCAGCCACTGTCGAGTGCTGGGTGAGATTTGAGCATCTCCAGTAACTGCTGGAAAAATTTGAAGGGAGAGATGGAGGGTGGCTTTTGGCTGCTTGAACGTGGGCAGCTGTTGCAGCTTTGCTTGGGCAAACAGGGGAGCCCTGTTTTTCCAGGAGGGAGGCAGGATTAGACCCACGGAGGCAGGAGTTAACCCTGACATCACCCAACCACCAAAGGCTTCTCCACGACCTCCCGCTGGGTTTGGAGCCACCTGCAGACATGAGCCTGTCTCCAGGCCCTTCCCAGTTTACAGACAGTTTTTGGGGTCCAAGCAGGGATCTCAGCAGGGGGGGAAAATGCATGAATGTATTTTGGGAACATATTTTACGTATGATGTATTTATGAAAGGTAGAAGATTTTTTCTTAATATATAGATATATATATGGATATTGCAATGCAATTCTAGTGTTTTTAAAATGAGCTTTATCTGAGTGAGTAAAAGAAAAGTTCATGGATTCTGGGCATTTCTTATGTTGTTGTGGGAAGCTAGGGATTTAAGTAAGCAGCAGCAAGGTGGTCCTGTTCCATAAGCAGGTTACGTAGGTCTACAGGTAACTTAAAATATTGGAAAGTATGTTTCCCAGTCTCATATGAAGTATTATATAGAAATATAATCAGTATTTCACAGGAACCTGTCTTGTGTGTTTTTCATCAGTTGCCCCCCTTTCCCAGCTGCTGTCCCTGGCAGAGGTGCCTTGATCCGTGCTGCCCGTCCTGCAGAGCCTCCTCCTGATGGGGTCAGGGCCACCCCATAGGGGTCCAGGCTTCGCTGCAGGTCATCGTGGTGTCCCCAAGGGTCTGCAAATCCACCCAAGGAGGAGAGTCTGTATTTAGGTTTGTGCTTAAATCATTGTGTTAATAAAGCCCCTCACGGGTACCAGAACTGAGGCAGCAGCATCTGCAGGACGGGTACCAGAGCTGCAGGATGCAGGCAGCATCATCTGACTGGTGGGACAGCAGGTGACATGGACACCCTGTGGGTTGGTGTCTCCTCCTGACTGATCCTCTCCTCCTGAGACAGAGGATAACTGCTTTTGAAGGCAAAATGAGGTTTTTAGTTGCTGAGGAAGAAGAATGAAGAGGGCAAGGTAGTACCTTTGCTGCCCTCCTGCACCCACAGACCAACCCTGTAAAAGCCACAGAGTTTCTCCTGGACCTACACTACGTAAATGAGGTCAAAGTCCTGTGTCATCTCTGGTTTGCTTAAGGCATGATTCATGCTGTTAAAGAATACAAACAAACAGGGGTTGGTATTGAGGGAAAGCCACAGGGAAGTAAAACAAATGAGCACCCAGAAGGGAGCCCAAGCAGGAAGAACTGAAGGTTATTTACGGTAGACAAAACCCCAGGCAGTCAATGAGCCGTTTTCCTAGAGAAGAGTTTGTTTGGAAGCTTCCTGGAGATTTTAAAATGACAGCAAATACAAGCTTTGAACGTGAGACACAGATCATTTCCTCCCTTTTCCCTGCAGTTACAGCCTCTTTTCTCCACCCGGGTGTGCAGAAGACCCTCAACACCTCCCCATCCCGGCAGCAGCTCCGTCTCCGCTTCCCCTGCTCCCTCCCAAAAAAAAAAAAAACCAAAACCCAACTGACCGATGTATTTTGATTGCATCAAAAGAAAAAAAAAAAAAAATTGCTTTTCTTTCAGGGCAGCCCTTTTTCCAGGCACCACTGTGGGGACGGTGGCCCCGGTGCCACTAGATGGCAATGGAGACGGCGGCGTTGGCCAGTGGGGCTGAGCCCAGCATCTCCCTGCTCCTGGCTTTACAGAAAGGACAAGAGCAGACCCGTGCACTGATTCCAGATTTGCACCAGCAAAATGGCAAATATAAATTTATAACATCCTAATAACCCAATCCAATGACATCTAGAAACAGATCTTTGGAGGGAAAATAGATACCGTTTGTAACAGAAAGTGATGCAGCAGGTGAGGGTCCAAAAGTTGATAAATTCTTATTTGAAGTCTTCCCTTCCCAAGCAGGGATGGAGAGCCCTGAGCTTTCACTCAAAAGGTAGTTTCTTTCTATATTTTCCCTTCTTGACTTTCTTCTTCCCCTAAATGTGATCGTTGTGATCACTGTTAGCCTGAACCTTTCTCTCTGAGCGAGGAGAAGATAAGTCCCTCTTCCCAGGATGGCACTGTCCCTGCTCTGCAGTGTCACCCAGTCTCACCTTTGTGTTTAACCCTAAAAGATCTGCCTCTGTTTGGAGGGTGACCCCTGCAGAGCCCCCTTTACCATCACAGGCCACTGATGCTGTGTTGTCACTAAGCTGGAAACCAAAAGTGAGGAGGGCTTTTGGGGTGAAGGGCTCCAGGCACTGGGGCATGTCCTGGGTTGGGGGTCTGGAGCTGTGCAGCTCCTTCCCCGTCACTGGTAAAGCTTCGGGCGGTGGATCTGCTGGGCTTTTTGGAGAACAGGACCTACAAAGAGGTGATAACTGAGGGTGAAGGGAAGCAGTGAAGCCCTCTCTGCCTCGTCCCAGCCTGGCAGAGGGCTGGGTGGCAGCACCAGCCCCACCTGGGCCATGCAAAGAGGGATTCATGGAAGATTTCCTGGCTGCTTCTTCCCACAATTAAATTTTCCCTTGGCTGGTTGAGCCCAAGAGGTGTTATTCTACCCAAGCAGCATTAGACTCCTTGGGTCTGACTCTCCTCTGGCTTAGGACAGAAATTGAATTGACCGAAGCCAACTGAGCAACACAGAGTGGGGAATAAAAGTGAAAAAATAATTACACTACAGGACAACAAAATCTTTACATCCCCACGGGAAATCCTTGTTTGTCTTTGTTGCACAGAAAAGCCTACCTGTCTTCCTGCAGTTGCAAAGAACACATCTTCTGGAGCACAGCAACAACCCCCGGGTGCTCTGGTCCAGCCCAACCCACTGGAAAACCTTTTATTGAGCCCAGTGGGCTCTGGATCAGGCTCATAATTAATAATTTCTCTGGCTCGCTTTAAAACCCAACAGCAATAAAAAAGAGTGGACTAGATGATCTCTATGGTCCCTTCCAACTCTAAAATTCAGTGAAATTCAGTGAAACGCATGTGTTTTACCAGCCTGGGTAGACTCAACCCAGCAGACGTGGTGATGGCCAGGAGATGTGTGGGGTGGCTGCAGCTCGGCTCGGGGAACGGCACGGGATTTCTATGGAACAGTTTGAGGGGATTCAGGGAGCAGAACATGCTGGCCTTTTCTGCAGCCAAAATAATTTCCTCTGGAACAGAATAAAAGCCAAAATTTTCTTGCGTTCCCACAGATTTTCATACTGACCTGCACAAAGCAATTTTAGAAGATGAAAATGAGAGCACTCTGTTCCTTCAAAGGAGACGCTGTGTTTCTTCTCCAGCTGGGCACCCTCTGTCCAATTTCCTAGAGACACATAGAAGACAAAATCTCACATTAAATTAGAATTTTCAGCTGTGTTGCATCTTGCCTGCTTTGTCACCAAATAACACTGCAAGTTAATAGAGGGTCCTGAGAAACCTCCTAAAAAGTATATACAATGGGATGAGCCCCCCAAAAACTGTTACAGACCTTCCCTTCTAGTAAGGGGGAAGCAGAGCTGCTATAAAATTAATATTGCAGTAGTTCAGTGAAACACTAATGCACTAGTAACTATAGAAACTGTAGCTCTAGACATGAATGTTCAACATACTAATGTCCCTTGGTTCAAACTAATATGAAATATGGGATCTCTTACTGTTTTAGCCATCAGACAGTTTAACAATACAAAATATGTTCCAAGTGGAGCAACGCTTTGAAAGTTGATGAAATCACAGATAAAGCCTTCTACCTCAGCAGAGGTAAGAATTAAAGCCTTTATAGCATTACAGATAAAATTTGGCCAATAGTTGTCACCTAAGCAATATCTATGAAAAATGTTTTTAATAGGAAAAGTAAAGTACCTGTCATCTTCGCACGCCTTCGTTCCCGAGGATGGACTGGTGGTGGATTTGCCTTGGGGCATGCAGACACTAATTTTTGTTTTATTCTCTATGTCAACCCATCTTTTAAATCCCTCCAGGGATGGTGACTCCACCCCTTCCCTGGGCAGCCCATTCCATGGCTTCATAACCCTTCCAGTGTAAAAATCTTTCCTAATCTCCAATCTGAACCTCCCCTGGCACAACTTGAGGCCGTTTCTTCTTGTCCCATCACCTGTGACTTGGGAGAAGGAACCAACCCCCAAAACGTGGTGAATTATGCTGAAACACTTAGACTCGGAGCAAAAGGGTGTTGGGCAGCATTAATTTGGTGCTTTTTTTACACCAGTCAGGATTAATTAGGGGCTGTCCATCTAACTCTCCCCTTAATGACTTGCTGCTCCCTGTGCAGAAAAGCAGCTTCTCCTGAGAAACAGCCCAGGTTGCCTAAAGAAACCCAATCTGGGGCTTTCTGATGTGTGGTACATCTTTCTTTAACAGTATGTTAAAACTTTATATTCTTCTCTTTTTTTTTTTTTCTTTTTCCCCACACGATAACCCACCATTCCCAGCCAGAAAGCAAGTTATTTGATTTTGTGCAAACCTGTTAACACTTCATTTGGATCCGCTCTAAGAATATTCCTGCAATAAACCATCACAGCAGATTTCTTTAGTTTTTCTCTCGATGCTGGGGAGCCAAGTGCTGAGCAGCTGGTCCCTGCCTCTGTGCATCTCAGAGAACCAGAAAAAAAAACTGATAAAGAATCAGGACAGTTTATCAGTGTTTTTCAGTGATCTCCCACTTTGTAGGTCAGGATGATTCTGGGCTTGGGAGCATTTCTGGTGTCTTATCTGCTTCCTGTCTCACTCTGAATCAAATGATGCTTTTCTTCTCTTAGAGATAAGCCTCCTCATTTTTTCATAGCCCTGTTGCTATCGTTATCGTGGGGATCTGGGCAGCTCTGTGTGGGATGGCTCACGGGAATGCCCCGTTGGGTTTTACATTCCTTGTGAATCCTGCAGACTCCAGAGAAGCAGGAGAGCATCTGGTCCTCCCCGAGATTCACCCACACAACGTGCTCCAGCTCTCTGGGTGCTGGGGATTGGGACTGGGGGGGTGAGGGGGGGTCCCTGCCGCATCCCAGAACAGACAGACGAGCTGCTAAACCTCTGCCTTCAGCCTCAAAAATCAAAAAGCTGTAGGGAGAATGAGAAATCTTCCCACATCGCTCCCCCAGTGCCCTCCTGCCCATCCCCAGGGTGGGCACGGGGGGGGGTACCCAGCTGCTCACAGCCCTGGGGGTGCCTGGGGAAATGCCTCCCCCCCGGAGCATCCCAGAGCATCCAGATGGGGGGAGCTCTTTGGGAGAGACAAGCTGGGGAGCTAGGGGGAAAAAAAAAAAAAAAAAAAAAAAGTGGCTGTACTCATGTTTTGCTAATCTAATTAAGCAAAAGAAACATCATTAATGCTCTGCGTGTCTAATTGATTAACATTCCCACTAAGCACAGGGTTGCTCTCATTAGCGGAGCCTGGTAGCTGTGAATGCCTCAAGTTGCAAATATGTTCTGTATCTGGAAGGCACATCTCGTTTCTGTCTCTGTAAAATAGTTAGCATTTTTACAAGACTATAAGGGAGGAGATAGGAGAGAAGCTCTACGTACAGAATCAGCAGAGTATCTTGGAAAGTGAGAGTT